CCAAACCATTTTTCCCATAATGCACTGCAACTGCTCAGGCAAAAACAGAACAACGGCCAGGAATGGCGAACCGCGGCACCTGAAGCTGCGAGCGGCCATACCAATGGACGCTCAAGTAAACAAAGTGTCTTGCAGCCCGCCAGGGGTTTACCCTGAGCAAGCCACGAATCAAGTTTGGGAACCTCTGGTCTAATGGATACAAACCAAAAACATTTTGATTTAGTATGACAAACTGTACTATTTTGATTCATGTTGACCAGCTCCCAAACTAAATATTTCATTTTGATTTTTTCCCCAATGGAAAATCTAAATGTTTTGGGGAATATGAAATTTCCCTGCAGAAAACATCTATTTTGCAGAAACTGTATTTTTCACTGAAAAGACTGCAATGGAAAATTCCTGACCAGCTCTAATAGTTTCAATAAATTCATGATCATAATGTACCAGAAATATGCCAGGTTACTGTGATTTTAAAGCAGAAATACCCACTGAAATAATTTCTGTCTAAAAGTGTTCTACCTACTCCTGTTTCAAATAGGTCATGTCATGTTCAGACCCCAGCTCTCTGTATACAAATACCAATAGGGTCCCCACTATGTGTGCAGATTTTAGGATCAGCTTTTAAGAAATCACTGCATACACTGCAGCTCCAAAATATACACTTGCAAACATTGTGCTCAGAAGATACTATTTGAATATGCAAATATTGTACTTGTGCATGCAGATACTAATTTTTCATGTGCAACAAGCATTTTTGGCCATTTATCTATGTATTTATATTCCTCCTCCCAATCACTGTAGTGTCCAGACTTCTCACAAATATTCATGAATTTATGTTCAACTCCCATTTGAGGTAGGGATATATTTATATACATGTTAAAAATGATGAACTGAGGTAAAGAGACATGAAGAGACTTATCCATCCAGGAAGTCTGAGACAGAACAAGGAACTGAATCCCAAATCTGACAGGGGTATATATCTGTCTTGTACCTTAACCAAATACCACTCTTACCTCACCACAATTTAGCTGAGTTTTGAAAATTCAGCCCTTAAAAACTAAAGAAATGTGCCATAATCGGCAATAGTTTTGAATGACACTGCTTTTATGAGCACCAATTTAAGTTTTTCTGTCTTATGTATTTATTTTAAATATCTTTGGCCACAAACCACCTGGCAGTTTAGCGGGGGAAAAGAAATGAAATGAGTATTGGTTAAAAGACATCAGATTGATAAATCTGGAAAAAGGCCTCCCTATATCCACAAAAACAGGTTAGAGAAAGCCACTGGAGCTATCCACCAAGGAGTAAGACTCAAAACCAAGGCTGCAGATAGAGTAGATCTTTCCTTCTCACATCAGCCCAAAAGCTCTGAACTGTTTGCATGCGCACACTCTTGGAGACGATGGAAAAATGTGGAGCAGCCAAGACAGAAAGAGAGAAATCAGCTTGGTAGAGCCTTCACCTATACAGTCTGAATATCTCTGTTGTGCCCTTCCAAACTGTAATTCTCTGCAGTCAAACCCAGTACTTAACTCTGTCTCAGAAAAATCTTATATTTGTTAGGCATAAGTACTGCAACATATGTAATGTTCATTGAACTCAGCTAACTAAGCTTGATATGTGAGGAGCAGAGTGGAATATAGCGTTAGATTTCCCCATTTTTAATTTAAAGCAGAATATTTTCAATATTTCTTGTGTTAGTTTAATGGACTAAGATGTTTATGATTATTATTCTTTACAAATAATCTATATTGTTATTTCTGTGTCTTACAATAGAGTTCTCTGTTTGCCTGGAAGTATTTCAACTTGGATTGAAATGGTAGTAACTGAATAAAAACAAAAAAATAATAATAAAGCAAGTTTGGATAATATACATAGGAATTGCCATTGTAGATCAGACCCATGATCTAGTCCAGTAAACTGTCTCCAACAGTGGCCAGAACCAGATGCCTCTGACAAAGTACAAAAACCCACAGTACATAAGTGAGGTGTAACTTGCCCTCATAAAGTCTTATCCTAAAAGTTAGATATTGGCTTAAAACAGGGCTTAAATTCAGCCGGAGCTGTTCAGAGTTTTTCACATCTCCAAGGCAGAAGCTACAAGCCCTGGGGCTCTGGGAAATACTCTATGAAAATTTAAGCCCTGGCTTAACCCCTGAAGCATGAGATTGTATCTTACTTCCAAAGTTTTGTTGGAATCGTTATAATTCTACATATCTTTGTTATCCATATAAATATCCAATCCCTTTGTGAATATTACTAAATTCATGTTCTATTGACATCCTATGAGAGTGAGTTCCATAGTCCAATTATATGTGAGCAGAAAATATTTTTTCCACTTACACTTTTGATTTTGCTACCTTTCAGTTTAATTGAATGCCCCCATGTTCTTGCACTGAGACAATGACAAGCTGCACGATTATAACATGTTGTTTCCCTCTGAGCAGGGGTGAAAGTAAGCCGGTACGGGTCAGTACGCAGCTGACTTTAAAGCACTGCTATGGCAGCGCTTTAAGGACCCTCCTTAAAGCGCTGTTGTGGCAGCATATTAACATCGTTGCCCCTTTTCCCCACCCCTGGCCGCCGACAGAGGAAGGGTGGGGGGACAAAAGGTGCAGCTGCCCCAGGGCCGGCGATTTAAAAGGGCATGGGACTCCGACCATCGCTGCGCTATCACAGCAGCGGCCAGAGCCCTGGGCCGTTTAAATCGCCGCTGGAGCCCTGGGCAGAGCATATGAGCTATCTGGGGGACATTGACCCCCTAGCCCCGCCCCTTCCCCCCTACCAGTAAGTCCTCTGTGTTACTTTCACCCCTGCCTTTGAGTCATAACAATACTTAACAAGGAGGTAATATGCTAAACATATGTTCTCCCCTTATATACATATATATAACTCATTGCAATCATGGCAATTATAGACACATATTCAAGACCAAACTTTGTCTCAGTCTAAACACTGTGACACCCATTGCACATGCGTAAGGCACTCCCAAAATAATAGACAAAGTGAGGTGTGTCAAACTAAATCCCTGTTGGGACTCCCCGGATTTGGAGCTCCCTCCCGTGCTTCATAAACAAATTTAACAGGCTAATAAATATAATATAAAGCCTTGTTTTTGCAACTTGATCTGTGGATTTAGAACAGGGATAGGCAACCTATGGCACGCGTGCTGATTTTCAGTGACACTCAAACTGCCCAGGTTCTGGCCACCGGTCTGGGGGGGGGCTCTGCATTTTAATTTGATTTTAAATGAAGCTTCTCAAACATTTTTAAAACCTTGTTTACTTTACATACAACAATAGTTTAGTTATATATCATAGACTTATAGAAAGAGACCTTCTAAAAATGTTAAAATGTATTACTGGCACGCGAAACCTTAAATTAGAGCGAATAAATGAAGACTCGGCACACCACTTCTGAAAGGTTGCCGACCTCTGATTTAGAACCCTGCACAAACCTCTACGGAGTTCAATGAGTTCTGTGCAGGTCTCCACCTAAATATTGCAGGAGCAAGACCTAGATATTACACACACCTTTTGGTTATTATTAGCCCTTTCCCTGAAATTTCTCATCTTTTCACCTCTGGTGCAACTCCCATGGTGGGAGCACTAGACCAGGGAAGGTGCCAGGTACTCAGGAGTGTTTTAATCACCACATCATCTAACCCTTAACCCTGTTCTGAGTTTATTTTGTCATCCAGGAATTATTTGATTCATTCTGTTAACAAGGTGAGATGACTAGTCATTTATATTTTATTTTGTACTGTGAATTTTAAATTATTGGATAGGAACTTTATGTTTTGTTTTTAAATAAATCTAAATTGATCCCCAAAAGTGCTAATTGGGTTAAGATTTCTGGAAAGTCAGTATTTGGTTTCTGGAAGCTGGGACCATCAAAGGTTTGTTATATTTTTTTCAATACACTACCACACAGGACACGTAAAGAATGGCCCAGGGCAGATAGGGATGGTGGAGCCTTGTTTGACATCTGGCAGTGTAGGAAGGATTCAGAATACCAAGCTATATATATGCCTGTGGTTTTGTGATTTTTTTTTTGTTTGGTTTTGAATAAGGAGCTTTGATAATTAGTGTTTCCATTTTAATACCCATGCTTGAGTTACATTGTAGGTTAAAATTTGTAATTTATACTGTGCTTCTCTAGAGAGCTGTGTGCGTGTGTAACTCATTATTTGTCACATGAGCCTCTTTCTGTCCTCATGTCATCTTTACAGAGTCATCCAAAATATGCCAGATGCAAAATTTTACAGGGATAGTGTAAATTTACATTTTGGTCTAATGTTTATGTTTTTCAAAAACAAACTTCTATAAAATCTAACACCAGAAGGTTTCTACTTCTTAAACATTCACATGAAGAATTCAGATTTTTTTAAAAACAAGTATTCTCCAGTTGATAGAAGAAACCAGAACACTGTAGTGCTGGGTAGCTTAAAGTGAAACTGACTATGACCAAAAGCCTACATTTAATTGGTTTGCATTTCTCAGCTTGTAGGTGCACAGAAGTCAGAGCATAAACAATTTCAAACATGAAAAGTGTAAGAATGAAAAAGCACTTCCAACAGCGGATAAGTCAGGTTCATGATAAACAAGATGGCACTATCCACAACTGCAATTTAAAAAGCTGCACCACCACCCTTAATATAACTGACTCTACTACCGACTCTTCCTCTCACCCCAAGACAAGTACTACGAGGTTTGTTGTGCTACTATCATATTAAGGATGTGCCTGTGTGTGTGTATATATATGTAAGCAATGCAGCATAGGAAACTTTGGTCAAAGGGAAGCTGAAGTGTTTCTTGGGCAAGGTAGAAAGAAGAGCATTATCAAGGTACAGCTAGAGGATGAGAAACACACACACTTGTCAAGCAGCGCTGATCCACCACTCCAGAGACAGGAAGGGGTGTGAGTCTTCCATTAAACGGGAAGCCATAAAGCGACTTTCTAAACCCCGAAGTAACCAGGAAAACACAAAAATGGTCGTTTCTTCGTAGGAGACACAAACCACTAAGCAACAGGGGCTGCAATGGAGACCCCAACTACCGCCCCCGCCCGCACGAGCAGAGGGAGCCAGATCCCGGGGGGACCCGTTCTCTCCCCAGCAGCTGGGCGAGGAGCCTCCCTCCCCCCGCTCAGTACTGACCCTCGGCCCGGAAACCAGCGGGGGAAGCCCTGGCCCGGGAGCGGAGCAGCTGGTAGCCTCTGAGCCTTGGGGGCGACTCACACTGTACCCTTGGCCAAACCGAGCGCGGCCAGTCCCGGCCCGGCCGCTGCCAGACGCGCGGGCGGCAGCACCCAGGAAAAGTTGCTCCCATGCAATGGCCCAGCCCGGGCCGGGGAACGAGGGGGCGCGCGGCGGGTAGGTGCCCTTCCCTGCCGGGAAACACGTGCCCGGGGGGTGCCTGGGCAGGGGACGCTTGTGCCAGGCAGGCAGGGCGAGGACGCTGCAGATACCCGGGGAAGGGAGGACGGGGGTGGCCGCGCCCAGCCCCGGGGAGGGGAGGAAACGACACAACTCTCCGGGATCCGCAGCCCCGCGCACTCACCCGCTGCCCACGATGGCTCCGGCGTTGGCGGCTCCTCCTGGCCGCGGCCGCTGCTTTGCCCGACGCGTCCCCCTGCCTGACGCCGAGCCCGCCCCGCCCCTAGGCAGAGCCACCCTCCTGCCCGGCCGCAGCTCCGCCTCCCGTCCCTCCCCGCAGAGCAGTGCCAGGAGCCAGCCGCGCACCCAGCTCGCCGGAGCAGCCTCCCCAGAGCCGGATGAGCCGCCTCTCACGTCTCCCGGCGAACCCTGCCCGCCCGGGGCAGCCTGGGCTGGGAAAGACACGGGGGTGCAGGCAGCGTCCCCGCGCTGGCTATGGGGTGCGGAGTGCAGGGTGTCTGTCCCCACGTCGGGCTATGGGGTGCGCAGTGTGCCCGCACCAGGATGGGGGCGTGCAGAATGTCGCAGGGTTTGGGGGAGGACAGCATATGCAATAGAATAAACCCGTGTGTTGGGGCGTGAGTGTTTCTCTATGGAAGAGTGCCGAGTGCTGGGCATAGGGGAGGGGGCATTTCACGGGGAAACCTCCTGAGCTGTCATAAGAGATCAGAGAGAAAGAGAGTCTGCTAGGGGGAAGGTGTCTTTGAGGGCATAAACCGTCCCTTGATTTTGGGAGTTTTTCTTCAGACAATGCTGTCTGAGAGAGGAGGAGGAAGAGTTGGTGCAGGCTGGGTACAATCAGCTGAGAGACTCCTTTTAAGGGAGTCTGGGGTGTTCCCGGCTAGGGAAATCCTTGAAAACATCCTGCCGTTTGGTGCTTTCCCCGGCGGAATTCTCATTGTAAACAATCTGGAGAAAAGGGGGACAAACTACACTAGAGGCAAGGAAAGAACATTGCTCTCACTGGAAAAGCTCCTGGACAGTCAACAGCATCAATAACTGAAAGCAGATTTGTTATGACAACATGCAAAGAAGAGAAGCTAGAGATCCTCTAGATGCTGGCGCTGTTGTCATGCTTTTGGAATAAAATTAACTGTAATTTTCAAATCTTACAGAGAAAAAAGCAGCTTTGGCTGACTTTTGAAAAGCTGATAGTGAGGAAGACTGCAGTGCCCCTTCTGTAGTGGGATGATCCAGCTGTGACAAACTCAATGAGTTTATGCCCAAATAATGAGCCACAAGGACTCCTCGTTGTTTTTGTCTGGATGAAACACTCTACTAAATATCTTGAGAGGTTTTTCAAGCAGATTTAAAATTAATACCAACAGCTAGATTGTGCAACCCTTACATTGGTGACAGGTTTCAGAGTGGTAGTGGTGTTAGTCTGTATCAGCAAAAAGAATGAGGAGTACTTGTGGCACCTTAAGAGGCTAACAAATTCCACTGTATGCATCCGATGAAGTAGGTTTTAGCCCACAAAAGCTTATGCTCAAATAAATTTGTTAGTCTCCTTAAATTGGTGAGTACTTACTTGCCTAAATTGTCCTATTAAATTAAATAGGAATAATCATATGAGTAAATGCTCACCAACATTAGTAAGGGTTGCACAATTTCGACACAAATGAGTAAGTAGTTCTTTCCAAATGAGTGAAAGTTGGCAGGTCTGAGATTACTTTTGGGTTTCTCTGAAGTGTATATTAGATTGTATGCTAATCCACCCTAAAGATGATAAGAGTAATGTAACTTGTGAACAGTTTGCTTGACCATTTGGGTAATAAATGGGCGGGGGGGGGGAAGAGGGGTGGGACCTAAATAGGAAAAGGACCAGTGCACAGCTAACTCTTAAACCATTTCTAAAGAGATGCTGATAATTCAAACTAAAAGTTCAGAAATGTGTTACCTAAATTTATCTTGGGGGCCCACTGAACTAGAATACTAGTGAATACAAACATTAATTTCGAGAGGACTGTTCACGGTAGTAAAGTTAAGGAAACGTATAAGTGTTTGCATTCAGCTTCTATTTTTAAATTAAATGTCTTAAGCTTGACACACAAAGCAGTAAGTAAGTGAATGGCTAAGGCCTTGATCCTGCAACTGGTTCATACAAGCAGATCTTTACGCCTTTGTTAAGTCTCACTGCAATAATGTAGTGGTCCACCTTCACATTTGAAAGATTGGAACCTACGTCTCCATTACATCCCAGAAATATTCTAGTGCACTGTGTGAAACTGTTTTATGCCATTTAAAATGGTACTTTCTCTATACCTCTATGACTTTATTCCTTCCATTCAATACCTTACATTGGTTACTCCTTACTCCATAAGTAGCCCTACTGACTTCCGTGTGAGTGAAGGTTGTATAATGAATATTTCAATGGTTCTGCAGAGAGCAGTTATATTATCATTACTAAAGGTGCTATTCATCTAAAATTCTTGGCTCCCTAGGTACCAGCTGTGCACAGACTCTATGAACTGACATTTCCCGAGCGTAATCATAATTCATGTTTCCAGGATTAAGGTATATTGATAGGCTTTTTTGTTTTAAATACTGTATCCCCTATCTTTGGAAGATGAAGACCTGCATTATTGCCGGTGGTTATAAAGAAGCCTGATATAGAAAATCAAAATTAATCCATGCTAAAGGTATATTCATTTTTAATTATAAGAAAAAATTACCCTGGATGTCCAAGTTTAACCATAATGAATCAGGCAGAGAGTTGAACTGGTGTGGAAGGACTCATTTATATGCAATCTGCTCTCTGCTGTTACAAAAAATTAGCTAGGCCATGGAAATTAGCTTGGCTGCTACAAAACCAAGTTCCACAACCTACCACAGCTTTGGTGGGCTTACACAAAATGGAAGGTCATAAATCATTACAGATTAATAGATTTGTAATTTAATCTAAGAGTCCCTGTTACAAGATTTCAATTCCTACAAGTAATAATCTCAAACTATTAAACGATTACCCAACATAGCAGTAAAAGAGACATATAAATCCTTCTGTGAAGGCTGAGATTTAAAATCAAAACAATATGGACAACTAGGGTCACTAATTTTTTCTTAATATGCCATTAATGAAAAGGATAATTATGTTCTGAAATAGAAATATCTGTTGATGATGAACGTTTCACAAAAATGTTTATACCAAAATTGTAATAAAAATGTAGTTGTAGCATTTTATAAACTTCAGTATTTTCATTTACAGTTTCAATGAGGACAGTACTTTACCAATAGAGTCTGATCTTGCAACCTTGCCTCGCACAAGAAGTTTATTGTCACACGAGTTGTCCCACTGATCAGTGCTCCCACTGGTTTGACTAGGGGTTGCAGGATTGCACCATAATACTGCATTTTAGGATCTCATAGAAAGTAGGGGGATTTTCCTCATTTGTGATGACACATATTTCAGCTCAGCTGCAGCTATCTCATTGGAACATAACCATTTTGTGTGTTTTACTGAGGGATTGTATATTTTTTTAAAGGGTGTCTAAACCCCAAGTCCCAAGTCTGTATTTAGGCTTATAAATAAGTGGACTGATTTTCAAAAGTGATGAGCCCCAGAAGTTCCCACGGAAGTCAAACACTCTTATACAGGCCCACCCAAATTGGCCCTGGTGATCTGTGAGCTAAGTGATCACATACCAGCTCACAAATCCAATGAAAATGCACACATTGAAATATGGAGTTTAACTTGTCTTCTGCCCCTTTGTCCTTTGTCCACACCAGACTTACGTAAGAAGATAATAAGGGCAGCATAACCTGGCAGTTCCTTGGTAGTGCAGTCAAAGGAAACTAGGTTCATTTTATTATTAAGCTGTGGCCTTTTGGCATAAAGTATGGAAAAATAAATACACCTGGTAACCAAGAGCAGCACCTACTGCAAGACAGGCTTCACTGAGACTTGAAGGGATTTGGCATTTTGCGTGATTGGGTCCCCGCTTTAATGAATAAAGTGGTTCTTCATGTTCTTTTTCATAACAAGATGATTCATCTAAGGGTAGGGCCTTCATACGAAAAAGAACATTACATGTTGTGTGGGAAGGAGGGGGTTGGGTTTTTTTTATTATTTTTGGCAAATCTTTACTTTTAACTCTGCAAACTGCTGTGTTAGGCCTTCATTCAGTAAGGTATGTAAGCATTGGGACTAATCACATGCTTGAAATTGGGCACATTAGGTACTTTGTTAAATTGGGAACCTTAGAGATGAAACAGTTGATTATTCAAATACTGAATTAAAATGTTTGTTAGGGCTGATATTCTGGTCTAGTAATAATGCACTACACTGTTGTGTAGCGGACAAGAGGCTCGATTTCCAGTCCTATGCTCTCATTTTGTGTTATTTGCTCTTATGCTTTGAAGATTTTCTTAATTTTGCTCTCACTACCCATGCAGTTGTCACTTGCTGTTTCCAGACAGAAGAAAAAGCACTTTATGCACTCAGTAAATAGTTTTGGATCACATCCTTCTGTTGCTTGCACATACTTGCACAACACAATGGCACCCTCACTGGCAGACCACTCAGAGTATATAGCATCATTTAAGTACAGTTATATATACTTGGGTAACTAAATATTTGAAAATATATTTTATAGGCCTTTTGGCTCCTTGCTTATTTGAAATGTGTATCATTTGCTCCAGACAGTTATTTCATTTTTTGTTTCATAGGCTAAGCCGAATGCTAGCCTCCACTGTTCCTCTGGTGTATAGGAAGCGCAGTCTGCATCTGGAGATATGCATGGGGATTTTACTTTGCAAATGGAAGAGCATGCTGGCAGCATAAAGGATGAAAGTCTTTGAAGAGCTCTTTTGAAAATGGAAATCAGCCCATTAACTCCTTCAGGCTACAATCTTATTCATCATTATTTCCAAGTTTTTCTTTTTTTTTTTTCACCCATTCACCAAGATAAATTCCAATTTAAAAAAATAGTCTCAGTAAGCTGGATACGTATATAGAGATATGTAATGCATCTCTACAGTAGTTGATACTTAAACATTTTATACATCAACAAAATACAAAAATGCTACAGAACAAATATATTAAAACCCAAATTGCTGGTCTTAGTTCAGTCCCTGGTGAACAGAGGACTAAAGAAAAACAGTTATTAATATTGGCATCCTTATCATTGAATGGCATAGACATTGCTTTATTTCCTCAGTGCTGTAAGTGATCTCTGCAGATCATGGGTGAGATAAAGTCTTGGGGGAAGTGTGAGAGAAGTTTGCCTTTTTGTTGCCTATGCAGTAATTTTTTTGTGGACAGACTATTTCCATCTTCAGGTCTGCCAAACCAACACTAAATTCACTTAAAAATGAATAAATAAATTGTATCCACGTTATAAGAATATGTTATAGCCTACCAGTATGTTGTCTGAAGGTGTATCACATTTTAAATACATCTGATAATGGATTCCAATAATGTGTAGCATCAAAACAGTAAATACTTGTTTCACATTCGTGGCTGTTGGTGTCTTAAATATACATTGGTCTTACAGTATAAAAGAAATTTCACATTATTGTAAATAGATATGATGTGCACCCTAAATTCACTTACATAAACTATGTAAGAAATAGAAGTGAGTTTTTGGGCCCAAATGCAGATCATTCACTTAGTTATGGGTTTACTGTATGTGCCAACCAAACAGAACTCTTTCTGGGAAATTATCCAAGTTCCTTCTTAGGCTTCTTCCCATGACTTCAAATGCATCCTTTTCCCTTGACTTGCAGACTCAGTGAACACACCTGACTTAATTAGAGCTTTTCCACACACTTCTCAGTTCCTTTTTCTTTATTTTGGAGAAGATTTCACACATCCTAATGGTAATAAGGTAAGAGACTTTCTAAGCCTATGCACTGCGTCAAGCAATTGTGAATCAGACCCAAGACTGTATATCTAAAATTGCCTTAAGAATTTAAGTGTAAAAAACAAGTAAAATGTTGACCAACTGAACAGAACTACATTAAGTAAGTACTCAGCTCATTGTTCAATTCTGCAGCCCTTACACGAAATGCCCAACTGAGTAAGGGCTGCAGGGTAGTAGCTTCAGTTTGCAGAGACATGGGTCACTACACATGGTTTATTTTTAATAGTGCTAGTCTTGTTTATTAAAAGGGAAGATTTTTTTAATTTTTAATGGTCTTTTATTGTTCCTTGATAGGCCTGGGGCCTGCTACATTTAGGCCTTGTCTACAATGGCAGCAGCAGTGGTGTGAAGGGTACAAGCATTACACACACACATATCTACCCACCACAGTGTAGAGCAAGATGCGCCTGTACTCTAGTAGCAACATGTAGCAGTGAAAGGCTCTGGCAGGGGGAATGCAGTGGGGAAAGGCTCAGTCAGTAGGGAGGCAGCAGGACCTACACTGATAAAAACAGTAGTGTAGATGGGGAACGCACCGCCTGGGTGTGTAGAAAGCAATGTAGGGTGTGTAGGCACTGGGGGTGTAGAAAGCAATTAAAGACATGCCTGTATAGTCCAGGCATGTCTTTAATTGCCTAAGCAGTGTATCACTGTCTAAAATGCTATTTATTTCCAGGCTTGGGGAATATGCAGTGTATGTACTGTACATGCCGACTGCTGCCATAAAGAGTGTGCACGTATCCTATGTGTTTTGGGTTTCTCTGTCAATGAGTCTCATGAGGAAATCCCATAAGTATATTATATTGCAATGGAGTAGCCACTCAGCATAGAGTGGAGATCTGATAGACTCCATTATAAAGTCTTGAAGGTAGGATGTCTGTGAATGAGGGGAGAGGAGAAGAATTGAAGTTAGAGGAAAAGACAAGACCAGACACAAACCTTATCCCATATAACATCCCTAGTTGAATGTACATTAAAATTATTTAAATACATGGGCAAAATCTATCAAGCAAACAATTAGTGATTGCTAAGGTTATTTTGGAGCTAATTTATTTTATGCTAAAAGCAGTTTTTGAAAGATAAACCCTAACTGATATGCAGAGATTCAAAAGAAAAAGGAACAAGGTACAGCATTGGTATAAAAGATAAGTGAAAGAAAATTAATTATAGTTAACATTACTTAGTGCTTTATATCTTCTGATCACGGTGCAGACTAACTAATTAATCATTACAACAACCCTGCAAAATAGATAAGTATTCCCATTTCTGCCAGGTTTTACAGAATTTTAAGAACTGACCACATGACATTTAAGGCAACCAAGAAATAAACATTCTGAAGTATCTTCTGCCAGGAGTCCAAAGTGATCCAAAGTCAGCCAGGTATTGGAAAGTGCACTGGGAGATTGTGTGTTTACATGGTTAAGGAATCAAGAGCGAGAAGCTGTGCTATTGTTTGCGCAGATTCACAGATGAAGGAGATAGAAGAGAGAGGCAAAACTGAGAACCTGAATAGCTTATTTCAAGGTTAGAGCTCATAGCTCATCATTGAGATCCATCAGCAAAAGGAATAAACTTCCTTATAAGTAAAATTTTTATTTTTATAGACAGTTTGCTGAGGAAGCTATGGATGTAAACTTTTTAATAATATCTTACTTCAATTTATTAGTAGTTTAAGAAATGAAGTAGAGAGCCAGTGTAATAAAGTCTATGCCACTCCCACTGGCATCCGTTTGAGTAGCCTACTTTCCCACCACCACCCTTCCTGAATTGCAGTTTGTGCTCCCTGGGCCTGAATCTCTACTCCATTACAGCAGTTTTCTGCTGGTGTGGCTCCACTGACTTCAAAAATGGTATAATGCAGTGTAGGATTAGGCCCCTTGGCCACATCTGAGGATCAGAGTTACTGTTTCTACCCACAGGTAATATCACTTTCCCCCAGTGCCAGTGATTAATCCCATAAAATAATGTATGTATGCATGTTCCTCTCAGCCAGCCTTCATTCACCTCAACTTTTCATCACACTATAGCTGTAATCAGGATTTTAGGAATAACAATATTAATCCTGTGAAAACCACATCTTTTAAGAGTGCACCTATTTGGTATGGCACAGTAACAAAATACCAGCATAATCAGTCCCTGTGTGAGCTAGATGCTATATATCTTAAGACACCAAAGTGGCTAAGTCTCCATTCAACTCTATTAACAGCAGGGGTGGAGTAACATAATTAAAACAAGCTATCATTAAACTCTCCATTTTAACAGCAGGGGAAGGGGCAGTGGGAAATATGTTGTAGAAGAATAGATATTATTATTCATAGCCAACAATTACACCAGCTAGTATATGAGAAATAAAGCAGAAGAAACTCATCTAGTGTTGACTTGAGTATATATACATACACAATTTTTCAATCCAGAAACATTTCTATCTAAGAAAGTTCCAAAAAAAGAAAAAGAAAAAAAAGAAGAAGAAGGGGAAAATAGCGGAGAAGAAACACCGTAAAGCATGATCAATGACAACATTCTGGCAAATATGAATCCTTGATATTATCATTGAATAATATTAATGAATCCTTATCAGATGCTGAATCACCTTCCTCCACAAGAGCTTTGGAGGCAAAACCTTTTCAAAGATCTTCTTTAGGGTTCCTGGGTTTCTTCCATTGGTGGAGAACATACTTTTTTCACATAAAACAGGCAGCAGTTCTACCCCCAAGCTGCCCTCCTGTTCACTGAAAATGCAACTCCATTAGAATTCCACGGTTAGTGATTCCTGAGTTGTTTGATGTCTCCAGAAGTCTCTTTCCAGACTACTTCTAATGAGCTCACCATTGGGACTAAGCTGTTCACAATCTATTAATATCTTTAGATCAAACTTGCAAAATGAACATATTATGAATACACCCCTCTCCATCATATTTCAGATTTTGCTATGTTGTCACAGATATAACCTTGCGCTAGACAATAATCTTTTGTTCAGCACTGTTACAAAAGTGCTTGGGGAAACTCAGTTTCTGAAGCACATAACTTAGTTTTGTAATGAATATACTCAACAACATGATTAATAGGAGACTTAAATATGAAACTACTTTAAATATAACTTTCACTAGCAAATACAGTAGTGGGAAAGATTTCTGCAAGCACCTCAGAATTTAGCTGAAAAGAGTCTAGTTCAAATTGATGTACTGGATTCCAAGTAGATTGTTAAAACATATCCTTTCTGCGGATGATCTACTGCAGAGGTATTGAGCAGACGTTTCTGATATTGGGCATGTGCTGTGGACATACCGGCCAATATAGGCTATTTAGCACAAAATAGTACAGATAATTGAAATGCTAGAGGAACATTAATTTCTCAGTCCAGAAAACTAAGGACCCAACTCTGAAATCCTTACTCATGCAAGTACTCCTGTTCACTACAACAGGGACACTAGCATGAGCAAATTTAAGGATTACAAAATTTTGCCCTAATACTCTTGCATGATTTCACTGAAATTGAGAACACATCACAACTGAAGTGAATTGCAGATAGTGATACAGGGCCAGACCTCAGCAGTTGTAAACTGGCAGAGCTCTCTTGACCTCAATGGAGCTGCATTGTTTTACAGGCATTATAAATCTGGCCTATAATGTGTGAAAAAGTTTTTGCTATGGAAAGAGTGAAATCCAGATCTACCAATATTAAAGATTTGTTTCAGTGCATAAAGAAATAACCTATTTCGAGAGGCTGATACATCAGTTTAATGGTTTCAGGAGCTACAGGCAGAATTTTTGGAAATATATGGGGAAGAAATATATGAATTATCATAACTGCAAGGAAGTGTTGCATCATCCAGACATCTATTTCCTTTTACTTTTTTCTAACTCCATTTTGTTTTCTTTTTTCAATTAATTCTTTTCAATCTCTGTGAGTTTTTAACTCTTTTTTCTGCTTAATTATTCACATGACATGTATGTTTGTAAATATGAATAAAATTATAATTAAAAATAAAAGGAAAAATTAAAAACTGGAATATTAACACATACTGGCTGGCAGAGGCTCAACACTTTCTGCAATCAATGTCCTGAACTCTCTCCTAAACAAATGGAAATATAATTTTTAGTTCAGTATATTGGTTTCTATCATTAGATATAAAATGAAAAAACAAAATACTCCCTACAGAGAGGCAGAGCATATCCCAAATGATACATTAAGAAACCTGAAGCACCAGACATAATGGCATGGGAAAATGTACCTTACTATTAACAAATGCCACAAGTCTACCAAGAGCCACTATCTTGTTCACCACATCACCCCATTTTTTACATTTTTTCTTACATTTCACCTTTCACCTTTATTTACCCCCAAAACAATTGTTTATTCCTATATATCCCCTTTCTCAGTCTTTTCATCAGTTCCTACACACAATTTCTCAATCTCTACTATGTCAGCAGTTAATAAATGATAAAAAATAATCTCTTATAGCTGTTTGTGTTTGTACAGACTTTCTGATTTCCAGTTAAGAAAGTGTATAGGCTAGATAATCTAGTTAAAGTGTAATTCTAGAATGCTGTTTTTTGCTGAATGACAATGTTTCTAGATTCAAATAGCTG